ACTCTTAGACTGAGCGAAGATGACGAAAAAATAGCGCTCTCGCAAATAATTTGCACAGTTAACAAGCGCAATGTAACATTGAGGACCAACCTTAAACGGAGTACCTAGGAGCTTTCAGGTACAGTGCACTGTCGGTATGCACTTTGTTTTTGTTAGCAATTAATCTATTGAAGGAAGGAGAAGGGAGAACGAAATTTAAAAACTCTTAAAACAGCCTTAAAATAAAAGATATTTGGGCAATCACTAAGTTAACTGGGAATGCACGATTGTATTGTTCTGTTTTTCATTTATTTTCAGGAGAACAGCAAACGTGCTGAGCGTCGAGAAAGTGACTGTTCCTCCAATGCTGGAAAGGGTATGGCTGCTTCTCAAGAGGATCGTATTGTAGGTACCATATCTGCTAAACTTTATTGGAACTACTTCAGAGCGGGCCTTCACGGGATACTACTGTTGGCTTTACTGTTGCTTTTCCTTATTGCTCAAGGTAAGGGCTTTCCTTAAAAACAAAGTTTACGGGAGCTAAGTCTGAATTAGTAGGAACTGTTGGCAGTGACAACGTAAACTGGGCAATATTAATTGATGGGTAATGTGTCCTTTTGGGTTTAAACTGAACGATACACAAGGCGAAAAGCCATGATAAGGTCATAGTGATTTGTGTGGACCATTCGTTTGCCATTCATTTGTCGAGTTTTGTCTTTTTTTCGGAGGAGGAAGGCTGTTGGTCATTAATTCTTAATCTTGTTTTTCATTACAACAACTCTCCTAGAATGATGTTTGGTAATGTTTTCCTTCCCAATATTCTTACAGCATCAATCATTTCACCTAATCTGTGGCTAGTTCATTTAACAAGAATGAAATGGGTTGAACAGAAACACAAGTTGAACCTGGTAATCTATGGCAGCTTGGTAGGCGGGGCACTCTTTCTCGCTGTTCTCCGGGGCCTGTTGTATTACTACACGACACTCAGATGCTCCGAGAACCTGCACGATCGAATGGTCTTATCCATGCTCCAGTCTCCTGTGTACTTTTTCGACACGAATCCATCTGGAAGGATATTGAACAGATTTTCAAAGGATATTGGAATCGTGGACGAGTTCCTCCCTCCGACTTCACTGCTAGCTGTGCAATACATACTACAGACACTAGCTTCTGTTTGTGTCACATGCTCTACAAACTACTGGGCAATCATCGGTGTCATTCCCATGATAATTGGTTTCTTTGGAATTAACAGGTAATGTATATGAACTCGTTTTTCCCCTCAAAAGGACTACTTTACATCGTTTCTTTTCTGGCGAAAAACACTTGACGCTTGAACATGGTAAGAAATGTTACGAACATACGTTTCCTATTTCGCCGCAGCGCTAACGTTCTACTGGCTCGTATGGTAAAATATCTCTCTTGAATAGTGGTTTTGAAAGCTTTATTCTTACACTAATTATGAATTTGAAGGGTCCATTTTTAAGGCAGTGGCATCAGCTAGCTTAAATGTAAATTGTAGAACAACAGGGCCTGCAGTTTTAGGGATACAACATGGAGTGCGGTAAACCTATTGTTTACAAAATAGAAGCATTGGTTTTCCTTGCTTTTTAGGCGCCTGGTATGATTTTCAAGTAGCACTAAGATTTGGAAACATTAAAGTTCCAATTTATAACTCCTCAGACGAAAACGGCAAACGTTTGTAAGGGTGCAACGCTTTCGAAAATAGTTCACAAGGAGTCTGTTAGCAATCTACCGATTGATATAGAGGCGAGAGCTCGAATCCAGTAGGGCTGAATAACTTTGAATGAGAGCGCATCGTTATCTGTTTCCCGTGCAGGTATTATCTAAAGACTTCTCGTGAAATAAAACGAATGGAAGCCATCAGTCAAAGTCCAGTGCTGGCTCACTTGGCAGACACACTTGAGGGAATCATTATAATACGAACATATCAAATGGAAGACAAGTTCATGCAAGCTTTTAATGAGTAAGTTAGCAAACTATTTTGTCTTTTAGCACCTCGGTACTTAAAACCGCATCATTCAGCTTTGGCAACAAGTACAGATTACTGTTTGTTACATCGAAATGTAAGGGAATGGTTACTACCGGCTTTTCTATGTGACCTTTATTGAAGTTTTACTTGCGTTTAACAATATTCCATGATTGGGTCGATGCTGGGAAATTCCATCATCAGTGTAAATATGTTAAACATCAGACTTAATAAATGGTTATTTGTGATCTACAGGGTACAGGACAGAAGAAGCCAGATTTGGTTCCTTGTGCCTCACAGCGCTCGGTGGATGGGAATCCGCCTGGACTTCGTCTGCACCTTGTTTGTAGCGGTATCCACATTCACTGGGGTATTCTCAACAACTGATGCAGGTAAAGTGAAACTTCTAGATGAGCAAGTCATTCAGTTTATTAAAAAAAAAAAAAAACTTGTGTCAAAGCTTCAGGAAGTCAAAGGCCAAAATGTGGTTCAACTCGTTATGTTAGCTTCCAGACAACACTAAAATTAAAGGAGGGAGAGAATCTCAATAAGATTCGAAGCCACGAAGATGGGAATGATTTGCAAAATCAAATTTCAAAGTTTAGTCCTAGGAAATACCTAGCATCAACAAACGTAATTTGTTTATTTGAAGTATCAGATGTCAAACAAAATGTTTCCCTCTTCAATGTTAGACGAAGTATCAAACATCAGTTTTTGTCTTGTCAGGAACGCTTGGGTTATCTTTAGTTTACGCCATCAGTACTGTTGGTCAGCTGCAGTTTGCCATGCGCCAGACAGCCGATGTTGAAAACATGATGACAGCAGTGGAGCGCGTCATTACCTACACAGAGCTCCCCAAGGAGCCCACGTATGACATCAATAATAAGCCCCCTCCAGACTGGCCCCAGGAAGGAGCCCTTCGTTTTAAGGACCTATCTCTGAGGTACTACGAGGGAGGACCACAAGTTCTAAAGAATATTTCAATCAATATCAATGCAAGAGAGAAAGTCGGCGTGGCTGGAAGAACTGGAGCTGGTAAATCGTCCTTGGTATCCGCCTTGTTTCGGATGCCAGAACCAGCGGGAAATATTTACATTGACGACCTAGCACTAAGCTCATTTAATGTTCAGAGTACGCGACCAGTGATTTCTGTCATCACCCAGAATCCCACTCTCTTTAGTGGACCGTTGCGCATCAATTTGGATCCATTCTCTCGATTCTCGGACTCGGAGGTATGGAGCGTGTTAGAACAAGTTCAAATGAAATCGAAAATCATGGAACTTCCAGGAGAACTGTATTTCGAACTCTCTGAGTCAGGAAACAATTTTGGTGTCGGAGAGCGCCAGCTACTTTGCTTGGCAAGATCTTTGTTGAATAAAAACAAGATCATTGTCATGGATGAAGCCACAGCTAATGTGGATTTTAGCACAGATAGAAGAATTCAAGAGACAATAAGAAGCAAATTTCAAGATTGTACCGTAATCACCATTGCGCATCGTTTAAATACGATCATAGACTATGACAAAGTGTTAGTAATGGACAAAGGAACAGTTGTAGAATATGATAAACCAAGTGTCCTTCTACAAGACAAGGATGGGGTTTTAACAGAATTATTTCGAAATCAGCAAGTAGCCTTATCCTAGTAAAACCTTGATTAGTTAATCAGTTAATGCAGGAAAGAGGTGGTGTTTCGTGAAAACAACAACTTTTTGGATTAGGAACGAAATTTCGCCTTCCATTTCTGAGGAAATTTTCAGGAATCGTATGGGTAGGGTGGGGGGAGAGAGAATTGGTAGGTTATTGTCCTATGACAAATCAAACTAAATGCTTCTAGGAAAAATTCCTACTAACTTAAAATGTTCATAAATAATATTTTTGGAATAGTGTTCTTTATATGAAATTGGCTAATGCCAATTTATTTTTTCTTCTGAGAGGAGTTCTTTCAATTCAGCTTAATGTTGGTCTTATGAAACCAAAGTGCCTATGGACAACAGGAATATTTCACTTGAAAGCGACAAAGTTTAAGATATTCCTGGTAAATACGGATAAAAAAAAAATAATGAAATGAAGTATGAACTAATTTCAAAAGAAAACTCTCAAAGAAATTGGTGGCACAGTTAATAGCTTCTTAACAATGAAATGACCACGGACTGTGCCAATCGTTACATACTCCAATCAGGAGTATGGGTATTTCTCATGCGGATGATCGAATGTATCATGCCGTCGTTTAAACGTGTATCAATGAAATATTTAAGGGTTTTAAAATAACAATGTAGGTTAAGTTAAATTAAGGACCCTGGAATCAGTACTTATTCGAATCTGACGTTCTTAGTCAATAAAATTCTGATGTGTGGCAATTGTGTTTAAGGTGTTGACAAGAGGAGAGGATTGTGGAGTCGGAACCCTTTACACCCCTAACGCTAGTGTGCAAGTTCTGTAAGTTTTCTCTGTTCTCGTGACCCAACGGGGGGTTTATGGGTTAGATAACGTTCTGCGGTATACTGGGTTAAAGTCAATCAAAATACTTTGCATCAAAACTGTGGTTTTGTCAGGACCGGTCATCAGGACCGGTCATCAGGACCGGTCATCAGGACCGGTCATCAGGACCGGTCATCAGGACCGGTCATCAGGACCGGTCACCAAAACAAGTAAGAACCCGCGCAGTAAGGGAAGAAGTTTGTAAGACTCTTTTCCATATTAAATTTGCTCAAAGGTTGGGTTTCGCTCGCCAAGCATGACTGAAACGGAATGACAAACGCAAAAGTTAACCTAGCCAAAATCTGTCGACAACATTTCTTCAAAGGCAGAAAAGGTAACATTTGCTTACTCCCAAGTCTCGTTAATAGATCAGTCCAACCTTATATTAACCCATGCGAAGTGGTGCCATGATATGTTGCTTAATTAAAATATAATGCAAGTAGAGTGAAATACGTTTCATAAGGTTAATAGATTGAAACTTGATCCCTGCGGATAGGTTTAATATATTTTAATCGAACTTCGGAACATGTACGACATATAGGAGAAAATTCATCACCATTGAGCACGAACGATTATTTATTTATTTTCCACTTTCTCAGTTTAAATTACTCTCGGAAATATGGAAAGATACTATCGACACACCAACGTGGTGTATTCTTGGAATTTCAAGAAATTAAGCGAGTCTCTAACTTAAAATCATGACTAAGGTTTTCCGAGGTAATTTTACATATCTACAGCTTTTCTCATACTGTTTAGTTCAATTGTTTTCTGTTTTGATGGATAGCTACCGGTAAAGAAATGTCACAGCCGGGACACTGCTGACGACTTTTAACAAAAGAAGAGCTGGATTCTTCAACTATACTAGTAATGCAGCTGGGAAAACTTATATTAACACTTTTCTATTGATATCCATGTCCTCTTCTTATAAATAACACCAAATGAAATACATGTACCTAGTCGTAAACTTTCGCTTTTCTTATGGAGGCCATTAACGGGGAAGCAAGTGAACGAGCTATCACATATCTGATTAAATACTAATTTAGAACTCCTAACCACTGCTGGTTTTCAGCTCGAGAAATACCAATTACGATACAATTAGCACAGGATAAATGCTTGCTATAGGCAAATAAGCGTAGTATTTTTCATCCTTCCACTAATCGCAAGGAAACTGACACTATCCTACAAAAACCCTCACTTAATCTTATAAGACATCGCCTCTGAGAATCTTTTGCTCAGTTAAATAAATACGTTTTGCATATCCAATAAAAATTACTGATGTTCCTTAAGAGCTTCCCGTTTCATGGCATTGACATTGGCGACAATTTTGAGCGCAGGACCTAGCTTCATGTGCATGGCGACCACCATATGTTCCTCACGTAAAAGCATCAGCGCCTGTCCGTCAATCTCTTGCGACACGAACGAGTCCGCATACTCAGAGCAACCGTTCAGGGACCTTGAGAAAAATAACAAAACGTATCATGGCAAGAAATGAAGGATGAGGTAAAACAGCTACGCCTTTCAAGCTAATTAGTCAAGCTCGTTGAAGAACATCACAATGTTGCATCATTTTGTTCCATGAGCGGCTTCATATATACACGGTAAGAGAAGACATAGGCTAGCTACATAGAGAGGGAAAGTTCTTAAGGAAACTACGATGCTGCGTCCATGGTGGGTTTAACAAGAAAATTCGGTTTTATCAACTGAGTTGATAACGTAAATTAGCCACCATAAAGAGTTTGTAAAGCTAGCGTTTCGAGTATTAGACCGATGTCAATACTAGCGCAAGCTGACTCGTCAGGGTTTCGTCAGTCAAACACGGCAAGTTCATGTTTTCGCGGCTAATTTAGTGGTGAACGCGCGTATGCTTGCACTTTCGTGACGTACGTGAACCTTGTGGCTTTATCATATCTGAGATAGTCAGAATGAGGAAAAGTAAAGTTTAGCTGGCAGACCCAGAAAAATATATGGAGTCCTTAAGTTTTAAGAATTTTTGAGTTTCCAAGTCGCTCAGAGCAACTTCTTACGGTCTTTATTTAGTAATTACAGCTTCGGCTAAATGGAATAACAATGATTTCCAGCTTGGAATCACCACCTGAAAATCAATTCAGGAAGAATGTCACCTTGCACAGTTGTTTGTGTCGATCGGCTTTTGCCATGTGACTTTTTTCTCATTGTCATCGTTTCATATTGTTTAGTCTTTGTAGGACTTTCGAATGGTTTACAATCAGTAAAACTTATAATTTTGACCGATGGTAGAACTGGTTTGGCAAAAATTACAGAGGCATAAATTTGTCACTAAATAAAACAATATTTCAGTGCTAGATAGCAGCGTTTCAACAGTTGGTACTCACTTTACGAAGGCAGCCACTTCTTCTACATTCCATTTTGCGGCTTCGACATGTTCATACAACCACAGCGGTTCCACATCGCTGCGTGTCCAGTCAAAGTTTAGTGGGTGGACTGTGTCTGTTTTAATGGTAAGGGAAATAAAATGACATTGGAACTAGAGACACAATCGTTGATAATGAAGAAGAATTAGGCAAGCCTGAACTTACCACCAGCATTTGACAGTTAGTGTCAAGAGCTTTCCTATGTTAAAGACGTAAGTGTATGGTGCCGTACATAATTCGTATACAAATCAATTTTTATGCTTTCCCTTCCGTGCACTTAAACATTATGGTATGTTCTTGCATTCCCGTATATGCTCAGAATTTTAATATTCTGAAAACTAAGACCAAATAATTATGCCCCGGTGACCCTGAGTCAGCGCACGAATGACAGTCAAAGTGTTCTTTAATGAGGACCAATGTTTATGGTCTTGATCTGGAGTACGTTTCTCAAAAGTCCCGGTAACTTTTCAGACCCGAAGTTGTATCTTTAAATCTAATTCTAGGGAGGAACTGTCGGTGTTTTAGCTCAAAAATTCCTACCATTCTGTTTCGTGACCCGATTTCTTTATTGTTCAAATTTCTTTATCTTAATCTTCAATGAAACACACAAAAAGTACCTTTTCGGGTTCGTAAAGTACCGGGTCTTTAGAGACACGGGCCCCTACTGGTCACGGTTCTTTTTTACTCTTTGTCACCCACACCTGTAAAAATTGTATCACTCTAGTTCGATATTCTTTAATTTACATCCAAGACTTTGTTTTTGTCGTTAATTACACGTTCATCGCAGTTCAAGTATTCCCATCGGTCGCAATTTCGGTGTGATTTTACGAAAAACTTGTTATATTGAACAAAAGAGGATATTAGCGAATACGAAGTTGCCAAATATCGCCTTAATTTCTGCTTCAAACATTATCGTGTCTAAATAAAGGTGTTATTATTATTACTATTATTATTTAACTCAAGCCTCAGTTATTTTGTTGAAAATGTAACTTTATTGTCAATGATGGCCAGGGACGCTTTGAAATGAAACTGTTAAGCAAGTTCTAGTACTTCTACACCAAAGCACTTGACAAACAGAAGTGTTTATGCATCATGTTTAGATAATTTTCTGCGCATTTTTAAACAGTTTTATGTCATTGTCTTTCCAGGTAAAAACATCTTCGGAGAGGAGGCTACTACCTTTAAATAATCCGAGAGTGCATGCTTCGCCAGTCTATGCGTGAGACTAAAAACGGCAACGTTACATTTAAAACGGAAAATATTTCAAACCTCTAACATTAACGTTGACGACTGAATTGACCTAAATCGAATATGTAAACACTACTTAACTGTCGGGCACATGTTTCCCATACCTTCATTATGAACCAAACACAGTTTTCTCTCTTGACATAAATCACGCCTACCTAAGCAATGTTTAAGACCGGTGTATTTGCATCGAAAGGAAGTTAATCTGGCCAAAGCGTTTTCTTCGTTTACTTTAAATGAGGGTGCTGTGAAAATACAGTAAACAGCTAACGCAGATAATAAGCACCTGTCTGATCTCCCTCCTCGGTTTTCTTCGACTCACCATCCGGGCCGTTTCGAGAGATATCTGCAGCCTTTGCCTTAGCCTTTCGATCTGACAATTCATTTCCCATCTTTGAAACGTTTTTTACTTTCTTGAGTTAACTAAGTGGCTTCGTTAACGCTACAATGCCCCCACCGTTGTGATATTAGAAAGCCAGGATCACAATTATTTTAATGCATCGGTTATGACTAACTAAGACTTGACGAAGAAATGGCATTCCAACTGATGTCGATACATTGCCGTGGATACGAACAAAATAAGTAGTATATTCAGTCAACCATTTACAAGCACATGGTTTAAAACTGGTTTTGACATGATCAGGGCATCGTTAAAAGTAAATTAAATGTCGTATAACGAAAAGAATGTTTGGAGTTTCAAACAAGAATCGAAGATTATGCGATTGGGTTAAATTATGCGCAAAATTAAACTTTTTTTTTTAAATGGAGAAAACTTGGGGAAGATAACAAATATTTAGCATCTCTACTTTTTTGCAGCGCTGGTTAAAATCAATTTCTGTTAAGTCACTACAGAAAAGAGAGCAGACGACGATCATGTACTCAAGAATTCACCATGCAAATATATAGCCGCGCAACCATATTAGTGAGCTTCATCCATTTTCCGTCTAAATTATCACCAACTTATTAAAAACTGACAGCTTTCCTAACATTCGAACACACTGAGAGCTGATTAACCGTTCTACCAAGTTCCAAGGTCGAGCAATAAGAAAGAGAGAAAGTAACCGCGCGAAGACTGCGGGCGAGAAAACAAGCCGAAAATTCGATGAGTTTGACCTTTGACCATGTCTGTAGTCCACACAAGTTAGTGGTACACGCAGGTTAAAATCCAAAGAAGGGATATAGCTTCATGGCTTAAGCCCTTGCAGAGCGTTCAAAGTAATTTCTTTACGTCCTTCACAATTTGATTGATTCTTAATGTCTCTAATCAATCTGTATGGAAGTGAGTGTGCAAATAGGCTCAACCATCAAGCTTTAAATTACCATTAACTTCAAGTACCCACCTTGTAGATGAGGTTCTTGAATTACACTAAGAGTGACCAGCAAAATTATTTAGAAGAAAGACAAAAAAAAAAACGCTTTACTCACCAAACTCATTTACTTGAATTGAGGCATCCACCATATATGGACCTGCTTGTTGTTCATAATACTATGAATTAAACAACAGAGAATAACACATACTCAGATTTAATGGACAGGATTTATTAAACAGGATGTATTAAACAGGTTAGTTGTTGTGGATAGTAACATGCACACCTTTATCAATTTTTCTTTGCAATATGAAAACAGGCTCCAAAGTTTTTCAACCTTATAAAATTCCTGAGGTTCACATACTTATCCAAAGCTTTTTTGAGGTTTTCCACAACCATCAAGTAAAAAATCTTTATAACATAGTGCTAAAACCATTATTTATTCAAGGAATTTCCTTCCAGTGTTGTTCGCAAAAAATTACTTGTTTGGCTGTTTGGTCTCACCACACAATATGCATCACAGTTGCATGTGTAAAACCCTCAAGGAGAGTTTATGTACATTTAAGAAAAGCAACTTTTTGCCACAATTTGCTGTTGTCAGCAAGAGTACAGATAAGGTTGCTCGCATCAATGTGTCATGCAATGTTCCATGCACTGACAGAGTTGTTGCATTTGACGTCAATATTGTGGCTAAAAATAAATCAACAGTGGTTTAGTATGGTCTGTACACTTATCCACAACTAAATTTGTCATCACAGTAGTCGAAATTCTGTTGATTTGTTAATTAATTGTGTGTTTTGCAGGTATTATTTGGTGAAATGACAGACATTCTAACAAGATCAACAACTCCCTCAGGACAAATTAAATCTACTTAAGTCTTTTATAAAAGACTAGCTTGATACACGCACAACAGTGTTTAAACAGTAACTTCAAGAATTAAAATGGCACGAACAATGTTGAAATAAAGACATTTAACAGAGAACATCTTTAAAGAAATTTAGTTAAGTTAATGATTCTTCATTTATGCTCTTCTCAGAGTGCGCACAGGATGGAATTCAAATTCTAAAAGTAAAATGTTTTAATGCTGCTTTGGACACTTTTTGAATTAATTTCTTGTTTGGAATGGATCTTAGCCTTAGGGAAAAAGGGAAGTAACAAAATGAATGGGTGGTGAGTGATTTTGATCACAAAAATCACTTGAACTCACCATGGGTAAGGAATATGACAACTTTTTATGATCTGATTTTGCACTGGAGTGTCGTCCACCCTGGCTACGAGCATGAAATGCTACCATTTTACGTGAGCAGCTTACACTATATCTTCTTGCACATGAAGTTGAACAGAACCTCTTTGGTCCGCGGTGATGATTCACTTCTGTGAGGGAGCCACACTGTTCACAGTGTCCAATGTTAGAATCTTCTACAAACACATCGTTAAAAGCTTCGTCATTACTTGATGGGCTCTCAGCTGAATTAAGACAAGAGAAGCAACGTTTCAGGGTGGTTGGTAACAGCCGATAGCATTTTTTGGACAATTAAAATACACACTGTATTTGCACCAATAATCACCACCTTCTTACCAGTATTTAGAATTTCAGCTAAAAAGGAGGGGCATATCATTGCAGTAGACGCAAAGTCAATATTCATAATTTTGTCTGCTTGTTAAAACAGTAGTTGGTAACAAGTGTATTGCACTCCCATTATTCAGTTTACACAAAGATGTATCAGCATGCATGATTGTTTTTAAATATTATATTGATTATTTTGACATCCTCGAGATCACTCTTGTCAATGATATGCAGTTCGTTGCATTCTTCTTGATCTATTGTGCCTTGTAAGTGAGGGAGGATGGAAGGGGCTTGATTGAGAGGGGCTTGATTGAAAGGGGCTTGATTGAGAGGGGCTTGATTGAAAGGGGCTTGATTGAGAGGGGCTTGATTGAGAGGGGCTTGTTTGAGAGGGGCTTGATTGAGAGGGGCACTTGTTTGACATAATGGCCTTGTGGGTGGGCACTTACAGGGGAGGGTACTTATCACAGCATGGGTGCTTATTCAAGGAAATACAGTTTTGCAGTGTACTTCTGGATGCAACTAAAGTCTTTTTATCATCTAAGAGAATGCAACATAATAGCGAAGTATACAAGTAAACACAGTCACCTATTGTGTTGGATTTACCAAAGTGTCGGCACATTTGAGTAGATTACAACCAATGAATTTTGGAAGATAATGTGTGCTGCTTCCAAAATAAATTTACACTCATTCATGAATGTTTATTGGAAAGTGCAAGGGTTGCTACAGGTTGACGTGACATTTAAACAGGAATTTGTGAAACCAGCCTGGAAATTCCAGAGGGGCTGATTTAGGGGCTAAAACTAAAAATCCACTGTGAGAGGGGTATTGATATTTTAGTTTATATTCAGTTTAGACATACCCTCAAATCCAGCTTCCATATCAATGTCTCCATTCTCATAATTTTGATTTCCATTCAACTGGTTTTGGTTAATTTCTTCTGTGTCATTTCCAGACTAAAGGGTCAAAGTGAATGGAGTTTGTGTTAGTAAAATTCACAATACCAAGAGTTTTCATCTTCATGACCACTAAAATACTACTATGGCCCTCAACTCTGAGAACTGTTGACTGCACTCAGCATTTAGTTCACATTATCAGTTATGTGGTATTACTGGACTTTGTGATAAATTTACTGGACTTCTGGTCTGTGATGCTAACTGTCTATTAAGCAGTGATCAGTGCAAACTCATGGATAAGGCCTGTTCCACTGCGTCACAAGCAGTTTGCTTACTTTAACTTTTGTACTAATTGGCTCCTTAATATACTTTTCTTAGTCCTAATTGCCAGTTGTGATTATTTTGGTTTTGGTCTAATGAAACTAAATAGGAATGGTCTCTGTTGTCACAAAATCAGGTAATACCATCATTGAAAACTACATTGCCGGTTTATCGCGTCAAAGTGCCTTCAACCTTTCAATTACTTATAAATATGCGCAAGTACTCAAAGGTGCGCGTGCTTTGTACATTAAATTCTGGTTTGCCACCGTAAAGTACAATTCAAGTCAGTCAATTTTCTTCAAACACGACAGTGGTATAACAAGTATAAAAAAACAAAAAGAAGAAAACCTAATATCACGCGATAGCTCAGATCATTTCTCTCTAAACGAACTTGTGCAATTGGCAGACAATTAAGATAGATGAAGCAAACGCAAGTACGTGTACCATAACTTATCGGACAATGAATGTGATCACCTAAATGTGATAAAGACCTCACTGAATTGAAATTCGACACATCTCTGCATGACATGTGTCTTTTCATACAGAGATTGGGCTTACCGTAAAGGGATAGTTGCTTTCTTGTATGACAAATCCTTCCACGAAATGTGTCAGAATTCTCGGTGATGCACTGCGTTTAGACACACGGCCAACTTGATCAAGGTGAAGCGTGTTCGCCACCATCTCCATAACTTTTAGAAGCGCTACATATTAGGAATGCGTTCAGTCGGATAACAGTGACAGATGAGGAACGAAATTCATTGTAGGCGAAACTGACAACGATAAAAACAGACAAAGGATCGATGTAAGATCTACACAAAACAGCAAATATGGCGACATGTGTGCATTTGAGCCTGCGCTACAAACGTGTGCAGAGAGAGTATTTTTTTACTTACCAGGGGTAGGCTAAGATGAACAAAATTGAACCATTTATTTCATGGTCCTTTCAAATGTTTAAGCTCAAAATGCTGTTAATGTAAAATGAATGAAAGTATTTCTTAACTTGCTCATATCATGCTGAAATGCATTAGAATGTAAGAAAAGCGACAAAGGTAAAATAACACTCTGGGGTCTCCAGTAAGTCTGCGAATTAGTTCGTAGTCAATATGGCGGACGAAGCGTTCGATGTTGTTGTCGTTGGATCTTGCTTTGTTGACTTGATATGTTATGTTCCTCATTTTCCAAAATTTAAGGAGACAGTGAAAGGAACAAAATTTCAATTAGACTTTGGTGGCAAAGCAGCCAATCAATGTGTCATGGCTCAGAAACTTGGGGCAAAAACAACAATGATTGCAAAGATCGGCAACGATCAGTTTGGGAAAGACACTATACAGAATTTTACGAAGTTTGGAGTGAACACTGATTTCATTTCGGCCACTAATAAAGCAGAGACAGGGCTCACTAGCATAGGTAAGACTTTTCCTCAACTTTTATCATCTCTTTCTACATGTGCACGAGCTTTTTATTAGCTTGTCAGAATGATTTAACCAACATATCTGTATATTGTGCATAGGGTATATGAATCCTTGTAAAGAATTTTTTTCTTTTCTTAGTTGTCCTGGGGTTTGAAAGGGGTGAACTAGCCTTTGTCTGAAATTTAAATTTCTTTTAATGAGTTTACATTATTTGATACAGCGCATCTTTTTTGCCTTTTTTCAGCTGTTAACAATGCTGGGGAGCCAGCATTCATAAGTATGGCAGGGGCAAACAGGCATCTTACAGTTGAGGACATCATGGCAGCAGAAACTGTTATAAGATCTTGTCCAGTTATGGTTTGTGATAAGGGAATACCTCTGAAGATTGCAGCAGCAGCTTTGGAATATGGGAAAAGATTAGGCAGTGTAACTTTATTTAATCCTTCACCGAAATTGGAGTCTGTGCCAAATGATGTTTATGTGAACACTGATGTTTTAGTTCTTAACAAGGAAGAAGGTGAAAGCTTAACAAGCATCTCAGCAAGTGACTCTGAAGGAGTAAAAAAGATAATTTTTGAACTTCACAAGAGGGGCACTTCACATATAGTGCTGACCCTTGGATCAAAAGGAGCCATCTCCTCTGTAGTGACTTTAGACCACAAGAGTGAGTTTTTTCTCTAATTTCATGACAAATTGAATGATAGCATTGACAACAACCTTACTTGGCCCTCAGTCTGTTTGAGCCTGCACGATCCCAGTAAAAAAAAAGTAATTATATAAATACAACAATAGATAAGTTGGTTCAGAAAGAAAATGGAAAATTTTCTAGAACAGAAGACAAATCTCTAAGTAATGGAATGACTCTTATTATAGTTTGAATCTGTGTTCTGCATTTTGAAATTAGCCTATCTGATGTTTTTTGTAAAGTAATCCATGCCTTAGGGGACCAATTAAGATTTAATTATTCCCAGCTATCTTAATTCTTGGTAGAAGGAGTTTGTTTATTCCCCTGAAATTCATTGCATTATCCCTTAGGTTAGCTGGTTACTTATGGATATATGATATGTATATTATTATTTTCAGTTCCACTGATGACACATACTAGAACATCAAAAGTTGAAGCAGTGGATACAACTGGGGCTGGGGATGCCTTAACAGGAGCATTAGCTTTCTACTTGTCACGTTTTCCTCAGCTTTCATTCTCTGAGATAGTATCAAGAGCAGTGCATATTGCAACAATTACTGTATCAGTGCATGGTGTGCAGTCAAGTTATCCTATAAGAGACCAAATAGATGACTGGTTATTTGATACCAGTTCAAGAACATTTGAGGAGTTAGGCCTTAAATTATTAAGCAATGAAGTTATGGAAGATAAAGTAGGGGACAATTATGAGCAGTCACCTGTATTTTAAAGCTAGATCGAACAGCTTACTTACTGTAATTTAAAACCCAATATTAGTCATATCACTATCACTGACAGTCTAAACTATTATAAACGATTTTTCAAAAAATAAACACATAGCTAAGATGTAAAGCTCTTAAGGTGAGTATGAAGTTTTTAAGAAAATCTCCAAGAGTTGGAAAATGTTGGTTTTTTAAAAACTCAGGAAGCCGAACTGATTTTTGTCACCAGCTTATATCCAGCATAATAAAGTGCTTCATTTGCTATTTTGAAGTGAGAATCAGAAAATTTTTTTTTTTATTGAAGTTGCAGAACCAAATGTGACAACAAGTTAACTCTGTGTGGTATTTATTTTAATTTATAATTTACAATTGGGTGTAGCCAGTACTGAATCTTGAATTGCATTGGTTTTGATACCTTTGCTCTTTTGTTGGCCCACTAAACTTGGCAATGTGTGTCACTCTCTTAACCAATAAAATTCAAGACTAAAACAAGTATGATTTGATTACTGATGTTTTTGGCTTCTTCAGGCAGATTACCTGTACTGTGATTGCTCAGAGTTCTCATTGGTCCTTTGGGATAACAACAACAACAACAACAGCATTTAGTTAAACACGATAAAAAATTCAGCAAAAGCTGATGTGGTTGTGTACAAACAATAAGACTAAATTCATAACTAATTACAAGAAGACAAATGCAAGATTTCTACATATTTACACCAATAAAAATTCAACATAGTACATCATTCAACAACAAACATATGAAACATATGTATGAACTGCGGTTATGAGACGTATATGTGAACGATCCTTCCCAGTAAAGCACTATTTGAGCAATAGTGAATTAATTTGATGGCCTGCTCCCAGTTGGCTTGTTAGCTCAATTGGTAGAGCGCTGCACTAGTATCGCAGAGGTCAGTGGTTCGAATCCCGTACAGGCCTGAAATTTTTTTCAGGTCTGATTTTCACTATTGCTCAAATAGTGCTTTACTGCGAAGGATCGTTCACATATACGTCTCATAACCGCAGTTCATACATATGTTTCATATGTTTGTTGTTGTTTGATTTATCATCTACGGGTTTATGTCGAATTAATTTGATGGCCTGCTCCCAGTTGGCTTGTTAGCTCAATTGGTAGAGCGCTGCACTAGTATCGCAGAGGTCAGTGGTTCGAATCCCGTACAGGCCTGAAATTTTTTTCAGGTCTGATTTTCACTATTGCTCAAATAGTGCTTTACTGCGAAGGATCGTTCACATATACATAGTACATCATTATAGGATACTTTCTTTTGTTCTTATTGGCCTTTAGGATTATTTTTTAAAACAAAATTATCTTGTAATACCCCTACCCCCAATACAGCACCACAGTTTGTTTATGATTCCAACTGGTGGTCAATACACTAGAATTTTTCAAAGTAATTAAGAAATTGAAATTTAAGCCTGTAGAAAGTACTCATTATTTAAAAATCATTGTCTCAATTATTTTATCATTACCTTTCACGGTTTTTCATGCACAATTTTTATATATTTCCAGAATTTTCCACTTAGTCGTTTTTACTTGACGAGTACAGTGGATTTAGGGGAGTCTAATGGTCCCCTAGCCACCCCGGCTGAGGACATCCAGTCTTCTAGTACCAGCCCCTTTGCGGGTATCACACGCAACGCCTTGTAAAAACATGTCGACGCGGACGGCTGCAATCGCGTGGCTCTACTTGGTACTTTTATCGGGTGGAAAAGTTTATTATACTACTGGTGATGATTTTACCGAAACTGTTACTCTATCAGGTGGGAAATTTCGTATGGGTAGTTCATCTGCTGATCCGAAACGTGGAGAACTAGCAGCCAAGAATGTTGGGGTTAAACCATTTGTGATTGATAAGTATCCAGTAACAAACGAAAATTTTCGGAAGTTTATCCGCGCCAAGAAATTCAAGACGGAAGCAGAGAGGTTTGGGTGGAGTTTCGTGTTTCGTACTTTTGTACCAGAAAAAGTCCGATCGAAGATCACACAGTCTGTCCCGGTAAGTATTGATACACTCTATTTCAAAACAAGGGGCAATTGGAGAAATTTTGTACCTAAAAAGTAAAAACTCACGGGGGATTCCCAGGGTTAAAGTTTCCAGGAGCTGTACGTTAGCTTTCCTGTCATTCCACGAATATATTTTTTTCCCTTTCAAAAATTAGTGGTCTATGGACAAATAATTCTTCGGACACAGTAATCTATATTTTTATATTATTCGTACCTGCCGTCGACTAGACCGTCGACTGTTAGTTTCTTTTACGTATGTGTATTGGTTTTTGCCTCCTTTTGTTCTCCCCTGTCCAAGAAAAAATTTGAATTTTATCCCCGTAACATCGTGGCTAGATTTTAGAAACATTTCATTCTTTGTGAAAGAAGACCAGCTAAAATAAAAAAAGGACTTCGTAAACCAAGGAAGTTTATTTTATTTAGTGTCCACTTCACGTTTGACATTCAGGATTGTAGTAAGTCTCCCAATCTGTCTTAGAGGTATCATTTGGGTGATTCACGTCCTTCCACAGACTATTTTGTCTAAAAGAGCTTGATTGCAGGCTGCTTGATTGCCCACCCCTTGAAGTATGCAAATACATGTGTGCCTCCTTTATTACATTTCTTTTAGGGAGCTCCATGGTGGTTACCAGTGCAGCAGGCATACTGGAGACAGGTATGTCCATGAGATTTATAAGGTTCTTGAATAAATATCAAACTAAGCATCCAACCAAAAAGTCAGAACAAGTAGAGGTTCAAATCCTCAAAAATCCTTCAATTCCATTCTTGTGACAAACATTCATCATCTTTCTCTAGCTTGTAAGTGTTGGATAAGTTTGAGTGATTTTTGAATTTTTTCACATGCCTAGCCAGGAGGTCCAGGTACCTCAATTAAAGAGAAATTATCACATCCAGCTGTTCACATTAGCTATAATGATGCTAAGGCATATTGTGAGTGGATGGGCAAGCGGCTGCCTACAGAGGCTGAGTGGGAATTTGCTGCAAGAGGAGGCCTAAAAGGTGTGGTAAAATTAATCAGAGGGATTTTGTTTTCAAGAACACAGTTACTACTACTACTACTTCTGTGTAATTACACTAATAAGACTACTACTACTGTGCACTAATACACTTATACTACTACTGTGCACTAATACACTAATAAGTTTTGGGGCTGGTTGGGTGATGTTTGGTCAAGCATTCAAAAGTGTACATGATAGTGATGTGTGAAACATCACTAACCACAACAAAACACCATGGCACTAACCATCTCTGGGATTGAAATTTCTGATTCCAGTGATCTGCATGTTGCAACATCTCTTGATGATTTGGGTTTGTGAGTGGAGTCTCTCAGATTAATCAGATTAATGTATGTTGCCCTCTGTACAAAAAATCTCACTTTTGTTCTTTAATAATTAAAAGTTGACAATTGTGATTCTTTAGCAACCCTACTAGTTCTATTACTTCACAAGATACCTGAAAGTAGTAAAATTAAAGTAATGATGATTCTTTGCTAGAGAGATATTGTGACAGTCAGAGGGCAATGCTACAATGGATCAGTTCCACATTAACATCGCAGAAAAAGTTTCAAATAAATTCATTGGATTTTTTCTTGACAGAGAAAGAGTATCCATGGGGATCAACCTTTGAAGAAGACCGCATGAACATCTGGCAGGTGCAGTTACTTGTGCAATTCTCATGGTATTCTGTTTATACGCCACTCCACTGCCAGGCCTACAAAAGACAATGACTTTCTATGTGTAGTAAAAACCACTCTTTTGTTATGAATTATTTCAGAACCAGACTATTTAGATTTCAAAATCATTTGGTACTCTCACAGTTAGATGATGTAATCATATTGTGTTTGTCCAGTCAACTTCACAGAACCATAGAAGTTTCATTTTAAGAATGCTCTAAACATTTTCCTTGTGTACTGCAGGGAGAATTTCCTGATAAAAACACACAGGAGGATGGTCACATTGGTGTGGGTCCTGTAGATGCCTTTCCTGTGCAGAACAAATTTGGTAAGTTACTTTATACTTGCAGTGAAATTGTACTATTTCTTTGCCAGACAATATACTGTCAGTAAAAATAATATTGTAAAGAACTGGCTGAAAGCTTTTTTAGATGTATGCTTGTGCAAACAAAAGTACCAAACAATTGTCAGAAGTATTTTTTTGTTAATTCTACATTTTGCTGTTACTGCAACTTTCAGTAATATAATGAAAATTGCAGACCATCTTAATTTAATGCAAGCAAAGTTTAGTGTGGGTGTTACAAAGATAGACTTAAGCGCTGGTCCATTTTGATTGTTCTTTATAATTTTTTCACTTTCTCTATAGGAATGTATGATATGTTGGGTAATGCCTGGGAGTGGGTGTCTGACAGATTTGAAGATAAAGGACAAGAGATCAAATACGTATTGAGGGGAGGATCATACATAGATACTGCTGATGGTAAAAACAATCACAAAGTCACTGTCACTACAAGGTAAATACAGTGTGCCTGGTTAGCTTAACTTAAACCCTTTCCATGACATGGTACATTATGTGGTATGACTTCACAAAATGATCTCAGCTTAGGGATGAATTCAAAAGTGGCCAGGAAGGACAGAAAAACAAGGATCCTTCTAATTCAAATAGAAAGGTTACTGTATTTCTTAGCCATATAAAACTACACAAAAACATGATTAATTTCAAGGCTCCCTGTCTCCACGACGTTATGTTCCAGGCCAGTCCAAAATATATATTTAACAATTATTCCACGAGTGCGCGTTGGATATGAGATGATAGATAGCCAACGAGGCGCGTAGTGCCGAGTTGGCTATAATCATCTCATACCCAACAAGCGCGAGTGGAATAATTGTTTTATTAAAAACGCCCCCAAGATATTAGACAAATTCTACCAAATCTTAAATTTTTTAGCTCGCTTTTGATTCTAAGCACACGCGTACGCTTGCCATATTTGTAGATTATGGTATATTGGCTCATATACCATAATGGCTAAGCCAATAAAAAGTCTTGAATTGCATTATCCAATGATCCAGTTTTTAATAAATTGAAAATAATCAATGAAAAATACGTTTGACGTGGGTTCTTCCCAATTTGTT